AAAGCTAAGAAGTTTCCTGAATACAATCAAACACTTTGAGGGACAGAGTAGCAGGGGTAGGGGTTTGGGCACCATGCTTTCATGGGATATCTAGTTCAATTGGGAAAACAAAGCTTATTAAGGAAATGTTTTGCATCCTGCTTTGGTGAGTGGCGTCTGGTGTCTTAAAAGCTTACAAGTGGCCATCTAAGATGCATCAGTTGGTTCCAACCACCTGGAGTAAAGGAGAATGAAGAACACCAGAGACACAAGGGAAGCATTAGCCCAAGAGACAGAAAGGGCCACATAAACCAGAGACTTCATCAGCCTGAGACCAGAAGAACTAGATCGTGTCCGGCTACCACCAATGACTGCCCTGACGGAACCCAACAGAGAGTCCCAGATGGAGCAGGAGAAAGGTGGGGTGCAGAACTCAAATTCTGGTAAGAAGTCCAGGCTTAATGGTCTGACTGAGACTGGAGGAACCCCGGAAAGCATGGCCCCTGTATTCTCTATCAGCCCAGAACTAAAACAATTTCCAAGGCCAGCTCTTCAGACAGGAATTGGACTTGACTGTGGGACATAAAAGTGATACTCGTGAGGAGTGTGCCTCTTAGCTCAAGTAGATACAGGAGACTAAACGGGCAGCTTCTTTCCAGAGGTGAGATGGGAAGGCAGAGAGGGTTAGGAGCTTGGTTGAATGGACATGGTGAATCAGAGGTGGAGAGGAGTGTGGTGTCACAGTATGGGGAGAGCAAGTAGAGTTACGTAACAATTTATGTGTAAATTTTCGTAATGGGGGGAAAAGAATGTGAGATTCTGTGGTAATAAAATTGTGAGACTTTATATCGAGAGAGAATATAGTGATTAAGAATAAGGACTTTGGGGGTCATACTGTCTGGGTTGAAATTCTGGCTCTGACCTTAATTTGTTGAGTGGACTGTGGGTAAATTAGTGAATCTCTGTGAATATCTCATTGTAATAGGGATTATAATAAGAATAGTACCTTATCAGTACATGTAAAGTGTTTAGAACTGTGCCTGACACGTAATAACTGCTCATTTAATTGCTGTTTTCTTCCTCATGGATGCTTTTCTTCAGGAGGGAGGGAAACTCATCACCTGAAAGATTTATCCTTTGATTGCTTTTCTCATAGTGAGGATGAATTTGTACTGATGAATCATGGATTCCTACCCAACCTTGCCTTAGGAAAGATATGCTTTTCAGTTTGTCTAGTTAGTGACTGGGGATAGTAGAGGACACAGGTTGAAATAAGTCGTTCCTGGTTTTATTAACAAGGCTTCCTATATACTGAGCTAGCCATTTCAGTGATGTATAGAACTTAATCTCTGACAAATTCTTCTAATGAGTCCTCAGTTATTATACATCAAGCGAATCCCCCTTTCCTTTCTGTTGTGAGGGTGTCATTTGGCTTTTATTCTAAGTTCATTAAGCATCTTATCCCTGAAGTTAACCTCTCCAGAGAAGCTTTTTTATTTTAAGTGAAAGTTTACAATTCAAGTTAGTCTCTCATACAAAAATTTATACCTGCATTATTATGCAATCCTAATTGCTCTCCCTATACTGTGACAGCACATTTCTCCTTTCCACTGCTGATTTCCCGTGTCCATTCAACCAGCTCCTGACCCTCTCTGCCTTCTCATCTCACCTCCGGAAAGGAGCTGCCCAGTTAATCTCATGTATCTACTTGAGCTAAGAAGCACACTCTTCACGAGTATCATTTTATGTCCCGTAGTCCAGTCTAATCTTTGTCTGAAGAGTCGGCCTCCGGAATGGTTTTAGTTGTGGGTTGACAGAGAGTCTGTGGGCCATGCTTTCTGCGGATCTTCCACTCTCAGTCAGACCATTCAGTCTGGTCTTTTTACTAAAATTTGAGTTTTGCACCCGACTTTTCTCATGCTCCATCAGGGACTCTCTGTTGTGTTCCCTGTCAGGGCGGTCATTGGTGGTAGCCAGGCACCATCTAGTTGTTCTGGTCTCAGGCTGATGCAGTCTCTGGTTTATGTGGCCCCTTTCTGTCTCTTGGGCTAATCCTCTCCTTGTGACTTTGATGTTCTTCTCCTTTACTTCAGGCGAGTTGGGACCAATTTATGCATCTTAGACGGCCACTCACTGGCTTTTAAGACCCCAGATGCCACTCACCAAAGTAGGATGCAGAACATTTTCTTAATAAACCTTGTTATGCCAATTGACCTAGATGTCCCCTGAAAGCATGGTCCCCAGACCCCCGCCCCTGCTACTCTGTCCATTTAAGTGTTTGATTTTGTTCAGGAAACCTCCTGGCTTTGGTTTAGTGCGGTCTAAAGGATCTTTAATATAACTTATCTTTGCAGATATTTTTTCAGATGAACCCGAAACCCGTTAAACCTGTTGCTGTCAAGTTGATTCTGACTCACAGTGACCCTATATGACAGAGTAGAACTGCCCCATAGGGTTTCCAAGGAGCAGCTGGTGGATTCGAACTCCCGAGCTTTTGGTTAGCAGCTGTAGCTCGCTGTAGGTCTTAACCACTGCGCCACCTGGGCTCTTGCAGATGAACAGACTACATATTTTAGCGGGCATTTAAGCATGTTGTGGAAGTAATCTTCTAGAAGATTTGCTGTGGGAATGTGATTTTCCTTCTTAGTTTTTAATGTTCCTCCCTTAGGTATATGTTACTAGTAAGAGTTTTTTTGAAAACCGTAGCAGATAGTTTCTGCTTACCTGAATGGTCTTTGGCAGAGTGCCGCAGTGTAGCTTATTGAAAGACTTGTTGATAGATTCTTAGAATTCACAGAGGATGATGAGACCAAATATTAAACCGTTGCAAACAAGTTTTTTCCCTGTATTTTCTGGTCTTTTACATACAAAGAAAAGAAAGAAAACTGGTCCACTATATGCATATATTTTCACAGTTAAACTTATTCTTCTTCTTTTATATAACCTATTTTATATAAGGAAACCCTGATGGCATAGTGATTAAGAGCTACGGTGGCTAACCAAATAAAGTCAGTGGTTCAAAACCACCAGGCGCTCCTTGGAAACCCTAAGGGGCAGTTCTGCTGTGTCCTGTAGGGTCGCTATGAATCGGAATTGACTTGATGGCAACGGGTTTGTTTTGTTTTTTTTTATTTTATATGAGGAAACCTAGATACATATCCACCAAATGGTGGAATTGTTATTTAAACTAAGCCCCTCTGGATTTGGTAACTGCTCTTCTCCAGCATGTGCTAATGCCTTTCCAAATGAGAAAGATCAGACAAGTACTTTTGTATACACAGAAAAGTATAAAGTACATAAATACAGTCCAAGTTTAAATTATGTCTTTGATTCTCTGATCTGCTGAAAATACTTCCATGTTTAGTTCTGAGTGTACGAGGAAATGAGGAATGAATAAGAGAAAGGTAAATGAAGTGTCCGTTGAGGAAAATGGGTTATTTGAATGGTGTAGTTCCTGAAGTTGTGTACTGTCAAAGATTCTCCTTTGTAATTCCTTTATATATATATTTATTTATTTTTTTAGCTGAAAGGTTCTTATCCAGTTTAGCTATCATAAGAACTTGAAACCTTATGCAGGATTTTGCCTCTAACTAGGTCACATATAGATTTTTCAGGCAGAAAAATGCCTTTCAGTATAGGTAACCTCTTTAATGGATTTCACTGCTTATTCTAGTCTCTTCTGACAGTTAAAGATATTGTGGGAAATTGAAATCTTTTTTTTTTTTTCCTTGTAGATTAACTGCTGAAGTACTGATCGAGTTCTGCGTTTCTTCAATGAGGAACTACAGGCTGATCTTCTGCCATAACCTCAAACAGCCATAAATGACAAAAGAATGCTTGCTCAGTGAGGGTAGCTGGTGCAGAAGCCATTTTTTAAACTTAGGTGTTTAAGTACTCAAAGGTAAGTTTTCAAAATGGTAACTATCTCATGTTCTAAATCTATATAGAGATTTCGGAGTTTGGCTCCCTGTTATTGTAGCTGGTACTTAATTATTAACTTGAGATTTTGTAGTTATTAGCTGGTACCAGATATGTCAAATAATGGTTGTTGCTTGTCTAAGACTAGGTAAATTTATGGCTGCCCCTAAGTTAATTTCTACTGTTTCTGTGACTTGGCTAGATTGTTTCCCAGTCACACATGTTATGATACTTGCTTGATCCAGTGGGCCCACCTATTATAATTACATGTGGGTCTTGTTTAGACTCTTGAGGAGATTTTTCTTGGTGTTCTGTTATCTTTCTCTTGCAGTGCGAAAGAATTGTTTCTCTGGGGTGATTTTAAAACAAAGCCCAGTTGGTGTCGTTTTGTCCATTCTCAACTTTTGAAAAGCAGTTTTTTTTTCTTTTAAAAATACCCTTTCCGGCATAAAAATGTAATAAATGTTTATTCTGTAAAATGGATTTTTCTTGGGATTATTTGTTCTTTGATGCTTCAGATATTCGAAAAGTCATCTGAGGTATTGTTTCTTCCCACTGCTTCTTTACCGATCACAATTCCTACAAAACTAAGACAAATAACCCATTTTTTCTGGACCACACTGGCTCTGGATATTTTTCTTTAGAATAATTATGAAACAGCAGTGTTGATAAAAAGACATTCTCATTGAAAGTTTGATGTCCCAAACTGGAGAAATGCCTTTGTTTATAAAAACATATTTGGCTGCTCTGTCATGCAGAAATAGAAACCAGTTAATCCTGTTCTTAGTAGCCCATTGTTTATAAAAAGTGATTATTAACCGATCACTTTATAAGAAGTGATTCTCTCCTGTTTGGATGTTTATGAATTGAGGGGTTAGATGAACTTCATATAGCAGAGCCCAGAGATGGATTGGGTTTGGCTTTTTACCTGTGTCATTAATAAGCTCGGTCAAAAAGACCCTCTTGGAGCCAAATTTATCCCTTAATATGTCTTTGGCACTTTAATACCTCTTGCTGAGTTTTGGATGATCAGTTTTGCCAGTATTGTTTGATAAATATGCAAACACAAAAGAAAGCATTCACAGCTAACTCTTCATAGTTAGAAATACTTAGATAATTGTATAGAGCTTTATTTGTAGAATTATGCTATGGGCCGGATAACTGGAAAATATTTAAATACATGACAACATATTCAGGTGTAAAGCGTCTATCTTTAATGTATTTAGTCATTGCCACCTATTAATCATTGTAGTCTTTTTTTTTTTTTTTTTTTTTGTCTTTCATTTGGCAGAAAAGACAGCTTTGATTTCTGGCTGCAAAAAAGATATGAGGAAGAGCTCCTCCCCTTCCTTGAGTAACTGCAACTCCGTTCTTGCTAACAAAATATTTGGAATTCCACTTGATGAGCTGCAGCAGGGAGGACATCCAGACAATGAGGTTCCGTTCATAGTCCGCCACGTTGTGGACTATATTGAGGAACATGGTATACATTTCCTTACTTTGAAGGCTAGCCTTTGTTTTAATAAACACAACTTTCCCTTTTTCACTTTGGATTTTTATTTTTTTCGTATCAGAAGTACAAAATATAATGAGAAAAAACATAGAAAAAAATTCTTTAAAAGATTTTAGTTTGTTTTTTACTCCAATTAATATACTTAAAATAATAGTTGCTAAGCCTAGAACATTTTTTAGTGGGGGTGATAGGAATATTTTTAATGGCTATAGGGGGTGGGATAAAATAGAATATCCCCCAGGACAGAGATAGTGTATTTCTAGATGTGTAATTTGAAGATTTTTAACCAAATAAGGGGAGCCAAAAATGGCTTTCCAAGAGCCTTTAAATTTTAAGTTGATTGGAGAATGAATATATGTGGCCATGTAGTGAAAATTGTAGCTTGTTTAATTTTTGCCTTGAACTAATGTAGGAGGTCTGGAGCAACAAGGACTTTTTCAAGTCAATGGAAATGCTGAGACAGTGGAGTGGCTTCGGCAGAGATATGACAATGGAGAAGAGGTGGATTTGGTTAAGGAAGCAGATGTTCCCTCAGCTATTAGTCTTCTTAGGTTTTTCCTTCAAGAACTTCCTGAACCTGTTATCCCTGGCAGTTTGCATATTCACTTGATGCAGCTTTCTCAAGGTAATATAATTTGACTCTTATCAATCAGTCATTATTATTAATTTCAAAGTCCTTACCTGGTGGCATACTGGTTAAGAGCTTGGCTGCTAACCAAAAGGTCAGCAGTTCGAATCCACCAGTTGCTCCTTGGATACCCTGTGGGGCAGCTCTACTCTGTCCTATACGGTCGCTTAGAGTTGGAATCCACTTGACGGCAACAGGTTTGGTTTGGTTTGGTTTAAAGTCATTGAGTCTCATTGATAGGAGCCCCGGTGGCACAGTGGTTAAGAGCTTGGCTGCTAACCAAGGGGTCAGCAGTTCAAATCCACCAGCCACTCCTTGGAAACCCTATGGGGCAGTTCTATTCTGATCTGTCGGGTCACTGTGAGTTGAAACGGACTTGACGGCAGTGGGTTATCAGAAGCTATTTCCTTTGTCACCAGGATTATCATTTTGCTCGGTATTCATTTAAAATTATGACAGCATCATGCACTATATTGACATTTGTGGAAGTACAGTGTGCATCTTATTAATTATTCTAATATTAACATTCATTGGTGTTATGCACACACACACAAACACACATTTCTTTAGAAGCTATGTAGCTAGATGTGGTGGTACTTGAGGTGATATTTGCATTTCTCTTGTAATAGAACCTGTTTTATTCATTCTTCTGTTAGTCATTCTTTAGGGAAGGTGTCTAGGTCTTTGGACAAAGAGTCCCGTTTCCATTTATAGTAGATAAATATTATGTCAGTATTTTAATTGATGTTCACAAATACATGAGAAAGTTGTTGCTTTTATGATTATGGAGGCTAGATAGCATTGTTGAAGTTAAATTTGAGCTTGTGTTTTTAAAAAGTGGTTTTTCATTCTTCTGTGGTAGCAGGATGCTTCAGTGTGGCATTCACTGGTGTGATTAGACCTTTTATTTAGACCAGGGTTTCACAACCTTGGCACTACTCATATTTTGGACTGGATAATTCTTTGTTGTGGGAACTGTCCTGTGAATTGGGGGATGTTTAGCAGCACTCTGCTTGCTAAATGCCAGTAGTATCTCCTCACCCAAGTCATGACATTAACAAAAAGTTTCCATTCATTGTCAGATGTCTGGGGGCAAAATTGCCTGTGGTTGTGAACCTCTGGTTTAGGTCTTAGTAGTTGGTCCAGCTACTTATACATTATGTTTTGGTAGAAAACACAGTTCCCAGTTTTGTGGATTTGTTTTTAACATTTCCAAAGTTACAGTGCTTGAAAAAGTTGCTAGTTGGGGAAATTCTTTGGTATGTACATATAATCTCCCTAGATATGATTTAACTAGGAAGTAGACTCAAAGAAAAGAAATTTAAGAAAGTGTGTATATATGTTTATATTTTTTTAAAGCACTTCTCTGCCTTAAAGAGACTTCAGAAGTAGGCTGGTAGAGATAATTTTTGTGTAATAGAAATGTACACAAAGTTGAGCAACATGAACAGTATTTCAAATAAAAACAGTATTGCCCGCAGTCTTACTACTCCATCAAATGAAACGTTTTAGTAGACTAGCATCTTTTTTTGATTTTTGTGTATTCATTCAGGTATTCAACTAATATTTATTGAGCACCTGCTGTATGCTAGGTGCTGTTCTAGATGCTGAGAATGCAGCAGTAAACAAAACTAGATGAAAATCTCTGTCCTAATAGAGTAAAATTCTAAATGGATGAGAGACAGAGATAGGGGAGACATAGATGATAAAATAAATAAGCATAATATATAGATTTTGTTAAATGACCATAAAGCTAGAAAGGATATTACATAGAATTTGTCAGTGTTGCTGTAGTCATCATAGTGATAATCATTGCTTACATGTTAGTTTTTGAGTTGGTATACATGATTTTCTTAAATAATCCTTTTCTCTTGAATGCTTAGGTTGTTAAAAATTTCTACCAATTATAGGCACAGTGATTAAAAAAATTAATCCAGGGACTGTTCCGTGCCAATTATAAAATCAAAGTACTGGTGCATTTGAATGGACAAATGGTAAAATTGCCAAGTATGGAAGAGTTGTTATTGGTTGCATTTTAAATTTTAAGTAAAACTCATGTTAGTATATAGCCTTTCCTGATAAACTTACTAGACTTGTGTTATTTTGCAGAGATAGCCAGTATTATGACCATATCCTTTTACCATAATTTTTCTGTAAATTAATTTTAAGACTGAAGAAAAATATAAAATGAAACAATGGGGTTGATTCTTACTATTAAAGCAATAATTACTTCATTTTGAGGGTTGTTGTTAGTTGCTGTCAACTTGATTCTGATTCATGGTGACCCCATTTTTGCAAAGTAAACTGCACTTAAAAGAGTTTTTAAGGCTGTGAACTTTCAGAAGGAGATTGCCAGGCCAATTTTCTGAAGTGACTCTAGGTGGATTTGAACTGCAAACCTTTTGGTTAGTGATCTAGCGTTTAAGTGCTTAATCAGCCTCTCTGATGGCTAATGATGCTGAGCATCTTTTCATGTGTCTGGTGGCCATTTGAATGTCACATTTTGAGGCTACCTGTGAGAAATTACATTTCCTAAGTGTGGCCCTCACCAATCAGTGGGGGTTGATACAGGACTACTAAAAGGTTAGTGGTTTAAACCTGCCCAGCAGCACTGTGGAAGAAAAGGCCTGGTGATCTGTTCTTGTAAAGATTGAAAAACTAAACCCACTGCTGTTGAGTTGATTAGGACTCATAGTGACCATATGGGACAGAGTAGAACTGCCCCATAGGGTTTCCAGCACTGTAAATCTTTGCAGAAGCCGACTGCCACATCTTTCTCTTGCGGAAGGGCTGGTGGGTTTCGAACTGCCGACTTTTCGGTTAGCAGCCGAGCTGCTTAACCACTGCGCCATGAGGGCTCTTATATACATATATATATAGAAAAAATATGAACTGGGGCCAGTGAGAAATAAATGAGGAAACATCCTCCAGCAATTGAGAGATTGAATTATTTTTTTTCACCTTTCTCTTTGTAACTCTTCTCCCCTACTTACTAAGTGAAATGCAAAGCCCTAAGGCATTTGGCCTCTGGTAGAGGAAGTGGGAAAGGTTTGAACTGTAGTAGTAAAATGTTGATGTGGGTGGAATAAGTAATGCAGACCTGGCAAAATATCTGAGCTTTGTGAATTGGGGCTAATGAGAAAAAGATGAGGAAATACCCTCTAGCAATTGAGGGATTGAATTTTTTTTTTTTTTTTTGGCCAATTCAACTTTTTTCAGGTGTACAGCTTGTTGACAGCAATTACAGTAATCAGCTGTGCAACCCTACCCTTAATCAATGTGATTTGTCCATCACCGTTAACCCCCCTTTTTCCCCTCCCTCCTGCCCCTGGTAACCACTAATAAACTTCGGTCTCTTTTCCTGTCTTTTTATATATATAAATGAGGTCATACAACATTTTCCTTTTGTTGATTTGCTTATTGTCTCAGCATAATGTCTTCCACCTCCATCCATACTGTAGCATGTATCAAGACTTCGTTTCTCCTACTGGCTGAGTAGTATTCCATTGCACGTATGTTCCACATTTTGTTTATACATTCATTTGTTGATAGGCATTTAGGTTGTTTCCACCTTTTGGCTGTTGTGAATAGTGCTGCAATGAACATTAGTGTCCAGGTCTTTGAGTCTGTGCTTTCAAGTCTTTTGGGTATAATACCTAGGAGAGCAATTGCTGGGTCATATGATAGTTGTATTTTTAGTTTTTTGAGGAGCTGCCATACTATTTTCCACGGGGGCTGCACCATTTTGCAATTCCACCAGCAGTGGTTAAGGGTTTCAGTTTCCCCACATCTTGTCAACATTTGTTTATCTTAGCCATCCTAGTGGGAGTGAAATGGTATATATCTCAGTGTGGTTTTGATTTGCATCTCTCTGATGACTAATGATGCTAAGCATCTTTTCATGTGTTTGGTGGCCATTTGAATGTCCTCTTTGGTGAAATGTCTATGCAGGTCCTTTGCCCATTTTATGATCGGGTTATTTGTCATTTTGTTAAGTTGTTGAAGTTTGTTGTAGGGGAAGAACATCACAAAGTTTAGTAAAGCAAAAAGTTTTATTGGGCATATATTCAGAAAGGCAAAAGTGGGAAATGGACAGCCATGCTGCCAGAGTCATCTCTGTCTAAGTCCAAAGAGTATTACAGGATAGGCAAGAATGGGAAGATGGACAAGCATGCTGCCATAGCCCTGTCTGCTGGGAGTCTAAAGACCATTACAGTCATCAGTATATATTAACATTACTAATGGGCAAAACCATTGAAAGCTTCACCTTTTCACAGATTGGCTAGAAACCGTGAGCCTACATTTTGAAACGTCTTTCTTAACAATCATTTGTACAGGTTTCAGTAATGATAGTCAGGAGGGTCTTCATTGGTCCAACAAATTTCTATTAGCCAGATGCTAATCGTAAAAGATAAGAGTAGAAAGTCTTTTGTGTTCTGTTTGATTGGCTTTATGTGAAAGTTTCCTTTAAGGATATATTCCAAGATTATCATAGCTATTGTCTTTATACCTCAGGGCCCAGTTGATGTGTCCTTGTGAGCCCAGCTCCAGCTGGTTCACATTCTCTATGCTCAAGGACAGGGAATAATAACTCCAGAATTATTTCCTAAATTGAGTTTTATGTATATATTGGTTATTAGATTGTTGTTGGATATATGGTTTTCAAGGATATTCTCCCAGTCGGTGGCTTGTCTTCTCACTTTTTTTGGTAAAATCTTTTGATGAAGAAAAGTTTTTAATTTTTATGTGGTCCCATTTATTTTGTCTTTTGCTGTTTGTGCTTTTGTTACTCTATTAGATAATCGATTGTTGAAAGCTAGGCCTGACAGTGTTGTGCCTGCTTGTTCTTCTAAGAATTTTATGGTTTTAGTTTGCACATTTAGGTCCTTAATCCATTTTGATTTTTTTTTGTGTATGATGTGAGGCACGGGTCCTGTTTCATTTTTGTGCGTGTGGAATTCCAGTTTTCCTAGCACCATTTATTGATGAGAGGTTGATTTCTTTTTCTTCACGTTCCTGTCTCTAGCTCTTCTCCCTTACTTGGTAAGCGAAATGCAAAGCCCTAAGGCATATGACCTTTAGTAGAGGAAGTGGGGAGGTTTTGAATTGTTATAGTAAAAAGGTAATGTGGGTGGAGTAATGTGAACCTGGCAAAATATCTGAGCTTTGCTTTTACTTCATTAAAAAAAGCCTGTCATTATATTTTATAGATTATAATAATGAAGATGAATTTGGAAGAAAGTTGAGGTTCCTCTTGCAACAACTTCCACCTGTTAATTACAGTTTGTTAAAGTTTCTGTGTAGATTTCTAGCCAACGTAGCATCACATCATGAAGAAATTTGGTCTGCTAATTCTTTGGCTGCTGTCTTTGGTCCAGATGTCTTCCAGTAAGTTGTTTCATAAATTTTTGTTTAATTAAAAAAAAAAAAATTGGGTTTGTGAAATAGAATCCTATTGTCTCCTAAGAATCATAGGCTGCTTGATGAACCATTATTTTTTATAATAGATGGGATTAATCCAGCATTTTTGTGAACAGGGTACAAATTAGGTAGGATTTACAGATGAGAAAACTGAGGCACAGAATGATGACATAAATTGCTCAGATTCATAAAGTGACTCATCGGTTGTCTCTCAGTTCAGTTTGAACTTTTGTTCTTAGCATTTACACAGATGTGGAAGATCTGAAAGAGCAAGAAGTAGTAAGTAGGATAATGGCTGGACTTCTGGAAAATTACTATGAGTTTTTTGAGAATGAAGAGGAAGATTTTTCATCTAATGATTTGAGTTCAATTACTGAACAGGTAAGAATATTTTAAATATTCTGATTGGAGGAAAAAAAAATTTTTTTTTTAACAATATGTAATTAAGAGATTGACATAAATTTATGTGGAATTTAACTGGAAATAATTCTCCTGGTTATTATATGTAATCAGTAAATGGCTTACCCGTATAGTATATGAATATACTGTTTTTTCTGAACCACTTCTTATCCTTAATTTGGATAGTATGAAAAAGGCATTGAAACCAGAGTATATATAGTAGGGTTTTTTTTTCTTTCTGTTAACTTAAGCATTATTTATGTTGTAAGAATAGTGTGGTTTTTTTTTTGTTTGTTGTAACCCTCCCCCACCAAAGAAACTACTAACAGGAATGTACGCAAAGAATGAGAAATAGAAGGTAGAGGAAAAGATTCAATACAAGCAAAGTTCATGGAAACGATTTTTAAAATATATATAGTATGGAAAAATAAAATGAAAATGTTTAGCAGCTGATATAAGAGAAAATGAATTTTCACATATGGGTTGTTATGAGTAATAATTTCATTCTTAAAGAGAATTTCTTGATTAAAATAGCTAGTTAATATAGCAGTGCAACAATGGGAAGTACCTGGAGAATTCATAGTTGAGGTTGCAGATCATTTTTAACTTGAGTGACTCTTGAGTATTGAAACCCATCTCTCGGTATGGTTTATGACATTTTGTTGTTACTGCTATGCTTGATGGTGGAGATTGTACAAAGATCCTATTGTTGTAGGGAAAAACATCACAAAGTTTAGTAAAACAAAGTTTTATTCCGCATATATTCAAAAAGGCAAAAGTGGAAAGCAGACAGGCATGCTGCCAGAGCTAATGTCTGTCCGAATCCAAGGAAATATTACAGAACAGACAAAAGTGGGAAAATGGACAAGCATGCTGCTAGAGCCATGTCTGCCCGAGTCCAAGAAATATTGCAGAATAAGCAAGAATGGGAAGAGGGACAAGCATGCTGCCATAGCCATGTCTGCCCAAGTCCATGGACTAGTACAGAATAGACAAGAATGGGAAAATGGACAAGCATGCTGCCACAGCCATGTCTGCCTGAGTCTAAGGAATATTATAGAATAGACAAGAATGGAAAAATGGACAAGCATGCTGCCAGAGCTATGTCTGCCTGAATTCAAGGAACTATTACAGAATAGGCAAGAATGAGAAAACTGACAAGCATGCTGCCACAGCCATGTCTGCCTGAGTCCAAGGAATCAGTATATATTAGCATTACAATATGGACAAAACCGTTGAAAGCTTCACCTTTTCACAGATTGGCTAGAAACTGATCCTACATTTTAAACTGTCTGTCTTAACAATCATTGGTACAGGTTTCAGTAACGACAGTCAGGAGGGTCTTCATTGGTCCAACAAATTTTCTATTCACTAAATGCTAATAGGAAAAGATAAGAGTAGAAAGTCATTTGTGTTCTGTTTGATCAGCTTATGTGAAAGATTCCCTAAAAGATATTTTCCAAGATTATCCTAGCTATTGTCTTTATACCTTGGGACCCAGTTGATGTGTCTCTGTGAGTCCAGCTCCAGCTGGGTCACATTCTCTATGCTCAATGACAGGGAATAATGACTCCAGTATTATTTTCTAAATCACTAGTTACTTTCTCCTTTATGAAATTTATTGTAAAGCCACATTAATTCAGACTTCTCAGGTTTGGAATTTGTGATGTAGGTCTGTGTGGAGGTTTTGCTTTTGCACTTTAGTGGTTTGCCAAGCAGACTTTTTATTTGATTAAGGGGTGGGTTTATTTGATTTGGGCATGGGGTGGGGCTGCAACTTTTTTTTAAAGGCTAATAATTCACTTTTTTTTTTTTAAAAAAAAAATAAATGTACAGTAAAAAGTCTTGCCTTAAGAAAAAAAGAAGTCTTGCCTTTCACCCACACCTCTTTTTTTCCTTCCGTCTCCAACCCTCTCCCTCCTTTATTGGTTTCTTATATGTTTTTCCAGAGGGTTTTTTTTTTTTTTTAATGCAAATACAAGTATATATTTTCTCACAGTTTTTAATAGGTAAAGTAGCATACCATGCACACTGTTATATACCTTGTTTTATATCAACTAATACTGTATCTTGGAGATCTTTTCTTATCAGACTATACAGAGCATATTCTTTTGTTTTTACATCTGCTTAGTTCCCTATCGTATGAATGTGTAACCTTACAATTTATTTGATTTATAGTACCAGTTCCCAACTGAAATGTATATCCTGGTTTTCTCAGAACAGTTCTAGTTGAAGTCTGCTTTCTGGTATAATTATGAATAGTTCTCCTTTCACTCTCAAATGTATCCAGTTTTGGATGGTAAATTATATTGTCACACAATTTATTGATAGATGTTTGGATTTTTGCCTTTGTTTTGCTATTACTTTATAAAGCAGCATCTCTTAAAAGGGAGTTTATAACACAGATTTTCACTAGCTCTGATAGATCTGATTATGTGAATTTGGAATTTTATTTTCTGAGTAGCCCAACCTTTATTTGAAAGAGCTTCTGTACTGTTGTGAACTTTTATAGATACAACTTTTTAATATTTGAAGTTTGTGCCTTCCTCAGTTTTTCATGTTTTCTTCAAGTAAGCATTTTTATCTTAGTCTGTTTTCCTGTGTCTCACTTAAAGAATGGACTGGATCTTCTTTCCTCCCTTCCGCCTTCTCTCCCTTTCTCTCTTCCTTTTTCAAGTATCAGGAGCTTTAAAGAAACATCAACAGGTGCCAGATTGCAGCTTGTAGCGTCTAACTCTGGATGAAGTCAGTGTGCATATATATGTGAAGTAAATCAAATAGGTAGAATTTGTAGCCTGAATTAGTGACATATGGAACTTTTGGTATGTTTTTTGAAGGTATCCAATTGTCATATCCAGTTCCTGATTTAAACATTTGGTTAAAATAAAGAACTGATACATCTCTTCAAATTTATTCTTGCTTAAAAGAAAATGACAAGAAGCGGACAAGTAGTTAGAGACACCTTAAATTGTTAATGAGTTTTGATGCCCATAAGAAATTTCATCTGTTGGGGAATTCTGTGTACCTTCTTCCTTTTCCCTAAATTACATTTTAGTTTTCTTTACTTTTTAAAAATAAAATAATTGGCTGTTCAAAGTAAAATAGTATATATTTCTGTCATTCATTTTCTACATTTCTAAGATGATTTGACTTGTAAGAAATTAGTGATACTAACTTGACCTAATATTTAAATTTTGATTCCTTTAAAGTCCGCAGGGTATGCTTCTATTACATTTATAATTCTCTGATATTTCTGTTATCCTGTGGATTCCTTATGTATGTTAAAATATATCCATATCTTACCTGTATTGCATTTGCATTTTTGTATTTTTTTTAAGCCCTATAAAAACTGAATTAATATATGTTGTGCTTTACATTAAATAGAATGGTAGTTAAGTTAAGCAACACCAGGAAGTAAGATTGAATTCTGCAGATTTGCCCATGGAAATAAGGATACTAGCTTATTGAGCAAAGTATGCTAGGTAGATGGAGTAGTGCAGTGGGTCCTGAGAGGCAATGATGTATATTTAATTATCTTGACCCAAGTTACTAATTATTAGAATCTGTTTTATCTGTTTTAATTATATTTCTGAATTATAAGTGGATTTGTAAGTAACAGAAGAACAGATTTCTGGAAGTTTTTTTGTTTTATAAGCAGATTTGATAACTTCAATTTGATTTATGAGGCAGAACTGATAAGGTATTTGAATGAAAGTAAAATTTCCTCAAACTCAGAACACTTTGGTTGTATTTTAAGGTTGGCCTAATTCAAGTGCTGCTTGTTTCTTATCCACATATTTAAAGATATTTATACACAAAGATATAATCATGGCAGTGCTTTGATTTTTCTCCTGATTTTGATATTTGAAAGAAGAAAACTTTATCCAGTGCTCTCTTCTTTTGGGGTCTCATCCCATTAATGCAAGTATTTGGCTGTTAGAATCTTTTCAAGGTAGTAGATATTCCTACTAATAGTATGAGAGAGACGGGTGGAGATGATGACTAGGAAGTGTTTGAGAAATGACCCAGAATCAAGTAGACAGTTTCTTTAGGATCAAGTAGGATCCTTAAATGAATGAGAATCCAGTGGAGTGGTTTGAAGATAGAAGTGATTATTATGTTTCTTTATACGTTTGAGAAGGCAAGTAGCAGTGTCCTCCACAAGCTGGAGTCTGGAGAGCAGACATTTCACGAGGCCCTAGAGAAGGGAATTAGAAAGAAAGTCAAAGAAAGGAGATGTAAGTATGGATGAGGGCTTTCTGTAAGTGGAGTTGAGGCAGCTGCATATATAGGGCATGTTCAGAATAACTTAACAGAATAGAGGGTTGATAAAAAGAAAATCAGGTTGACAAGTGGAGGATCAAGAGGAACTTTGGGAGATTAGTGTAGGGTGAGAGAGCATTTTTATCTAAGCCTTTAATGTTTATACTCTTGCCCAAAGTAATTTAGTCAGTTCTTACTGCAGGAAGTTATATTTGGGAGGCCTGGGAGTTGGGAGAAGGGATGTCACATCTTAGTTGGTGATCATTGGTGAAAATACTGGAAAAAAGTAAGTTAATTTACATAAAGCTTATTGAACTGAATATAAAATATTCAGTATAATTGAGTATAAGACTTTTATATCTCCTAGGAGCTATTGAGTATAGATACAAACTGATTTTAAAAAGTCTGATGTAACTAACATGTTAAAATAGTAGTACCCCGTACCTAAAATTTGTGGACTGAATAAATATTCATTTATTTTCAGTTTAAATAACCATATTTGAAATTTTAAAAAATATTTTGGTATTGTGCCCAAGCTTTTAATAGTCAGCCACAATAATTCCCATTTTATACTTCTGAAAGCAGTATTTTCTTGGCAGTTTTTTTCTTGCTTAGATTATCAGGTAAATACCAAGTAAGTTCATTCTCTTGATTTTCACTAATTTATTAAATACATAGATGGAGAAAGAAGATAATTTTCCATTTGACCCAGCTTAGAA